TTTCTATCAGCAGGCTAAACATGGCTGATTGTAATATTTCCTTAAGATTTGCTTCCTTTGATGAGCGATCATGATTAAAAAAAAGTCTAGTAAGTGAATACTGCTAACATATTTACATCTACAAAGTATCGTTTCCTTCATTGATAAGCTTCTGAAGGCATGATCTAAACAACAGAAGAGGCCTGTTAAATTATCTTCCTTTTGTATTCAGCATGGAGGGCTTATCATTAGTAAATGATGCCTACACAAAAGGGAAATTAGACAAAATAATTCACATATTTTTCTCCATCATTGATACACATTAAAGAGGAAGATAATTTGATGATTAAAAATAAACAATGATCAAAATTGTTTCTGCCATCAATAAACACTTGATATCTTCCTTCATTAAATATGTAGGTTTTTGTGTGTACAGGTGTGTATATAAAACATTCTACTAAAAAGTCTAGTTCCTAATAATGAGATATATCTCAAAAGAAGAGTTGTTGCCTGGTATGACTAGGGACCTAGGTTCCATCGCCACCAAAAATAACTAAATGTCAGTTCTCAATTTTCCTTGTTTTCAAAGAAAAAGATTATCACTACACACTCTACTATACTTCCGAATCCTTTCAACCAAGGTACATATTCTTTCTTGCTACAACATCATTTAGTAAGTAACTGTTTACCTGCCATATGAAGCTGATATTTTGAAATGGTTTATAGACAAGATGGATGTAGTTGGTTGTTTTTTACTCTTTACTCTTTGGGGGTCCTGTCACCCAGCTCACAAATAAATACATGGAGTCTTATTCTTACTTATGAATGCCCAGCCTAAGCTTGGCTTGTATCTAGCCTGCCTTAACTTTAATTATCCCATCTATCTTTGGCCTCTGGGTTTTTGCCTTCCTATATGCCTTTCTTTACTTCTTATTCCATGGTTTGCTGTGTAGCTGAGTGACTGCCCCCCTGGAGTTCTCCTCTTCTTTTCTTGCTCCTTGACCTTCTCTTCCCAGATTTCTCCTTCTATTTATTCTCTCTGCCTGCCAGCCCTGCCTATCCTTTCTCCAATAGGCTGTTCAGCTCTTCATTAGACCAACTGGGTGTTTTAGACAGGCAAAGTAACACAGCTTCCCAGAGTTAAACAAACGTAACAAAAGAATGCAACACCTCTTTGCATCATTAAACAAATGTTCCACAGCATAGGCAAATGTAACACATCTTCAACTACTATTCCACAACAGATGGATATCTAGAAATGTACACATTTTCAACATTATTCAAAGTTCTTATGACAATCAGAACGTTCTTTATATTATCTCTTTCACAGGGTTTCCTAGTATCTGATATTTACATATATGTTTCATCTATGGAAAAACATCCTGGATTTGAAGCAAAGAGCATTAGAGTTATACCTCTTTCTAACTTTTCTGGGAAAATAAAACCCTAAGAGTAATATCTGTTTATCATGGCTCACACTGAAGAGAACTATTACTTATCAAGCGCATTTCCTGCAGTGCACTAGCTCCCACACCTTCCAGGCATAATTAGATAATTGGCCTCAGTCCAGTTGGAGCCACTTCCCTCTAACATGAAGGGTTCCTGGATTGTTGTGAAACATTAGGATGCAAAATCTTCTGACTGATCACCTTGAATATCTGTTCTCATCTTGTCCCGCTACTTACCAATTGTCAAAGCATCCACAAAACTTCAAGATAATGGTACTAGAAATCTGTGACCAAATACAGAGGTTGTATAAATTTCTTTTTGTGATGAAGCAGATGATATTTTGTCTCTCTAAAGTTCAGGTCTTTCAGCTCAAACTCTTTGAAATTCGAAAACAACAGAAATAAAATATACCAAAAATCCTTCTACTGATCTTAAACAAAGAAAACCCAAATGCTTCTCATTTTTCAGATTGTCCAAATTGTCAGGCTCAGTGTTAATTATCAGTACACAGTGCTTATCATTCTAGGTTGAATAGGAAATTGCAGGTAGTTCCTGAATCTCATTTAATTCTAAGTCTATATTTTAAAGCCCCTTAGGTAAGAGGTATTTATATATAATTGTTACTTTACATAGTCTGTGGTACAGTGTACTTTATATTATTATTGATTGCTTGAAAATAAAAGAATAAATTAATGGTTGTTTCAATGTGTACAAAATGCTTTGTGATTGATATAATGAAGATATCACAGTCAGAGCTTTAGTTCAGTTGACATGCACTTATAGTCTTGAAATTTTTCAGGGCTTGTGATGCTGCCTTTGGTTTTTGGTGATCATTTTGTTCTAGTTGTTAAATATTTTAATATATGTATTGATGTACAATGTCATTATTATTTGGAGGTAGGAAGAAAACTGCATTGTGGGTGGGGTTTGAAATAGATGTTTGCTTGTGGAATTGTGATTTTTCAGAAATACCAATAATGTCACTGTTCAAAGGTGAGAAACAAGAGAAGTCACAAGTGCACAGTCTAAAAATAGGCTACAGAAGCCTGACTTTGTCTCCAGCAAAGAGTTGTCAGACTGTTGACACTCATCGTGTACTCTAGATCACCTTAGATTGTTAACTCTCTTTTTGCCCATTAATCTACTCTCATGACTGTGTACGTTATGGTGCAATGTCAAATCTTGCCTGCTACCCCAGGAACCACTAAAAGTTCCATTTTGCAATAAACAAGACATAATGTCAGAAGAAAGGTGTGTGAAAAGATTTCTGGAGGTAGATCAGTATTGATGTTTTGCTGACTACATGAAATCAAATATATCTAGAGATTCTATTTGACCTTGAAATACATGTTTATAATACCAGATTCCTAAATATTTCTAGATCCCAAACAAATGCCATTTTAATCTCTCTTATGTTACTAACTTCTCTGAGACCAACACTGAGCCATCTCTCTAGCCCTTCTGATGCCATATTTTTCCATTCATTAGCAAATATATATTGATTACCCCACAAGAGTCAGATTATGTGGTTTTATATTGTTTATATATAGTAAAGGCACTGGAGATCAGAATATAAAGCTAGCAACAGCCATAGAAGCTGAGCCCTTTAACCGAGGTCTCGGGAGACAGAGGCAGATGGATCTCTGTGAGTTCAAGGCCACCCAGGGTGAAATGAGATTGAATCAATCTAAAACAGAAACAGAGCTCGCGCTTTTAATCCCAGCACTAGAGAGGTATATACGACAGGAGCAGGAATTCAGTATTCAGTCTTCTGGTAATTAGTCTTCAGCCCTATTGAGATCAAGATCTCCTCAGCTTTGATAGAGGTAAGAGCTCTCTGGTAGCTTGGCTGATTTGCTTCTTTGCTCTTCACCTTGAACACCAATATCTGTCTCTGGATTTTTATTATTCATGTTATAGGGTTATGTGCTGGGAATGTGAATGCACTTATTGATAAAATTAAATCTTTGCCATAAAGACTTCTCAACCTAGTAATCCGTGATTTCTCTGTAGAAGTATTTAAAAGATGGAGTTACTACATCTCCAAAATGAGCCTCTCCAATCTATTTTGTCTGTTTCTATCTATACAGCTCTTCCATTCTTACTGCTTTCTAATTCCATAATGTGAATTTTCTCTAAGGTTCAGACTTACATTACTTCTTTTTTCCTTTCTGCAGTCCCCCTTAAATGGCTCTATGATTTTAGCATGGATTTCTCCTCAGTTTCTTCACTCTACAATTCAATTACTATCCTAAGAGACCAACACACAATGGAAACAAAACTGCTCGTTAAAGGCACAAAACACTTAAGAAGAATCAGTTCTGGTATTTTTTCCTATAACACACCAGGAAAACTTTTGTTTAAAATAACTATTAACATATTTCAAAATAGCAAGTAAAGAATACAGAATAGCAAGAAATTCCTGATGTGTAAAAGTGATTGGTGTTTTAGGACAGGAAAATGTTTATAATACGCTGTAAATATAAAATGTCTTCAAAGGCTAATGTGTTGGAAAGTATATTCCCAACCTGTTCACACTATTAATAGATGATTTGATCATGAGAATACTAATATTGGCAATGAGCTCATACACTGATAAGCTCATACTGTATGTGATTTTAGGGGTGTGTCCTAGCAGAAAGTAGTAAGTCAATGGAGAACGCATTTGAAGGATTTACTTTGTCCTGACCTACCTTTTCTCTCTCTCCTTTGCCTCTCCTTTACCCTCTCACTCACCTCTTCCCTGATTCCTGGATGCCATAAAGTGAGATGCTTTCTTCTGTCACATCCCTTCCAACTCTTTTTTGTTTGTTTGTTTTTTAAGACAGGATTTCTCTGTATTGTTTTGGAGGCTGTCCTAGAACTCGCTTTGTAGACCAGGCTGGCCTTGAACTCACAGAGATCTGCCTGCCTCTGCCTCCGGACTGCTGGGATTAAAGGCGTGCGCCACCAACGTTCAGCACATCCCTTCCATCTTGATGCTCAACTTCACCATAGGCCCACAGTGATAGTATCAAAAGACCATGATTTCTCTGGGACGTTTTGTCATAGCAAGGGAAAGCTGACTAACACAGTTTGTTAGACAATTTGAATTTTTAGAAATTATATAAATTTACTAAATTATGATAATGTACCCTATAAAGATGTGCAAATTCTACATCTAATTTTAAATTTAAAAAGCAAAAACTAAAACTGGATAGTTTCATAGTATATGTTACCTCCCCAGTACAGTTAGGCTATCAAAAACAGACACATCTAACCCCAGTTAGAATGCCTACCATCAGGAAAATAAATGACTGGAGATATGATGCAGTGACTAAAGGTGCCTGCCACCAAACCTGAGGACAGAGGTTAATCCTCAGGACCCACATGGCAAAAGGAGAAACTCCAGTCCTGCACATGCTCCTTGGACCTCCACATGCTCACTATGACATGTGCCTCTCCCCACACAAATACATAAATAAATGTACTAGAGGTTTAATTTACGAATGCTTGAAAGGGTTCATTTTTGGTGTGGTTTGTTTTATTTTTATACAAGTGCTTTTCTACATGTATGCTTGTGGACCATGTACCTGGTAACTGCAGAGGACAGAGTGAGATGTCAGATACTCTGCAACTGGAGTTGTGGGTGGTTGTGAGCAACCATGTTAGCGCTGGGATTTGAACTTGGATCCTCTGGAAGAACAGCTAGTGTTCTTAACCGCTGAGTCATCTCTCCAACCCAAGGGTTCCTTTTAAAAAAGAAAGAGAAAACTCTGTACTTTCAGGTATCATTACTATATTTTGTTACTAAATAAGAGTAAAATGAATACGACTTTAATCACAACATTTTTGAGTCTACATATTGATGTCCAGGCCATCCAAGGCTACATTGTAACATATTGTCTGAAAAAAAAATCACACCTGAAAAACTAGCAATGGTCTCTTAGCCATGTCTGGTAGTGACTTTTCTAAAAACAAAACAAATACAAATTTAAAAAGGAATGACAACAAATCTAATCGTTGGTGGGAGTATAAACAACTGAAACCACCATGGAAATCAATGTGGAGTCATCTCAAAAAAAAAAAAAACTAAACAGAATTACTACATGATTTAGCTATACCACTCCAGGGAATATGTCCAAAGGATCCATAGCTTACCAAGGAGATATTTGCACATCCATGCTCATTTCTGTTCTAGTCACAAAGCTAGGAAATGGAATCATTTTAGATGTCCATTAATAGATGAATAGATAATAAAAGCATGGTACATATACACGATAGAATTTTACACAGCCCCAGAAACGAAATTTGCAGGGAAGTTGGTGATTATACTGAGGCTCATAAAGACAAATATCAAATGTAGCAAATTCTAGCTTCTAATTTTTAGGTGTGTGTGTTTATGTGGGTGTGATTATGTATAGATGCCAGAAAATTAGAGCATGAAAAAGGAGAAAAGAGGTTGTAAGGAAAGAGCTGGGGACTATAATAGAATACATGCTATATAAAATTGGATGGAGGAATACTGGGGCTGAAGGGTGCATCTGGGAATGGAGAGGCAGAGGTGGAGGGAGGAGAGTGGGGAGGGGATCAACCCAAACTATGTGTGTACATGCCCTAAAGAAACTATTTATTTGGAAACGTGTGTGTGTGTGTGTGTGTGTGTGTGTGTAATATTTTAAAAATCAGACTACTGTCAGTATGAACAAAAGAGTATCTCTCTTTCAAGACTCTTTTCTACATTTAAAATTTTAAGTAATAATGAGAACAATTCATTATGTACTATAGCCCACCATTATTATAAAATCTCATATGTTTAATATCATAGATACTTCATGATAACCTTATGGAATGGATACCATTATTACAAAAATTTTATGAAAATTGGAATACTAAAACTTTTACTCGAGTAGCCTATATGAAATCAATAGAAGGTAAATGAGGGAGAAAGACTTTAAATCCAAACATGCAAGGTGGAAATACAAATGACTAGTAAGCAAAACAGTAGAAATGAGAATATTTCAAAACTTAATGACCCACAATGATTCATTTTTCATTAGTCTATTCTGCTAAATGTCATGGCCATGATGTGTCAGTGGCTGGAGTTATAAAAACTGGAGACAGAAAATTATGGCCCTTGTTTTCTTTAACTGGTACTAGGTAAGATATCTAAATACTTCTTTATTGAACAAGGTTACTTACTATTAGTTCATCCATTCACTCATTTGTATACTACACATCTGCCAAATTATTCTTGTGAAACTAAATGTAAGCTCAATCTGTACTTTGTCATAGAGACAGAGAAACACACAATTGAAGATGTGGAAAGTCTTTTATGAATACTCCATCAGTGCTTTTGAGTTTTCAGGACCAATAACTTCTTTGGCACAGTAATCACTGTCTGTACTTGTACCTTTTGATCATGAGGGCATTAAAGTCTTTCTTCTCTGTGTCAATGCAAGTAGTGACACATGATCCTAACGAAGAACATGAAAACATTAGCCTTTTTTCTCATATGAACAAGAGAAGAAACACATTGAGTTTTATCCAATCTATTTGTATCACACACCCCTTCTGTACCAACAAAAGCCTCCCGGGAAGAGATCAGGGAGAACAAACATACCTTGAATCATCTGTCATGTCCAATGATGACAAATCAAATCAGCGACACTCCAAATGTCAAAGTATGCTCACAAAGAGACATCGTATCAGGGTTTTTTTTGCCTGCAGCAAAATAACAAACTAATTATATCATTTAGGTTTCCATTCAAGCTTTCCTTAAAATCACTCCAAACCCTTCTGTCATGTCCTTCTCATTCTATGTATCTTCTTTTTTCTCCTATCCCTATGGCCACTTGCCAAATTCAGAAGAACTTTTGTTCTTCAAAAGAAAATGTACTTTGATCATTTACTCACTAAAAACATTAAATCCAATCATATGCTACTCACTGGGCTAAGTGCTGGGAATTCAACTGATCGCAAAATCATGGCGTGCTTTCTTTAACTGGATCTTTTCTAACCAGTGACTCAGCAGAATACCAAAGATTGGGTGGTTTCAAGAAGAATTTCCTTTCCAGTGCTGGAGACTGGAAGTCCAAGATTCACTTGCCAGCATCGACCTGGGTAGATGGCTGAATGGTAGAGCCCTTACCAGGCATGTTTTAGGCTCTGGGTTCCATTCCTCTCACCAAAAAAGTACCAGGATGGTCAAGTTCTGGGGAATGATGAAAGGCCAGAACATGGGCTGGTTTACATGTTTTCCTCATTGTGTCCTAATAATGTAAAACGCGCCACAAAGCGTGTGAGTGCCTATATTTCTCCTTACAAGGGTACCAATCATGTCATAAATACCTCTAAATCCATGACCTAATTACTACGAAAACACCAACCCTCTAATAATAACACATTGGGAGTTAAAATGTCAACACCTGGATACTAGAGAGACACAAACAGCCAGTATTTAATAACTACCACCTCAGCACTCTACAGCCTTATCAGAAGATAAGCATCCTGTGTCTACTTTACCAATTCTTTATAAAGGTTTTCCTTCCAGTTTTTGTTTTTCATTTGTTTGTTGTTTCTGAGACCCGGAGATGCTGTTTCTTGACATGATCATCAGAGCTTAGTCCACATCAGCCAACTCCAGTTTTAATCTAGTCCTTTTGTTAGCACCCTCTCTCCTCTCTACAATATCCCATTCATCTGGTTTTTCTTCTTCTAACTCAACAGTGGGAGCTCCACTGCTCTGTATCCCCATTTCAGAAAGGAAAACAGAATCCATAGCTCTGCTTTTAGAAACATCTTGTCTTTACATTGTACCCTTTTCTGTCTTGTTCTTTCATATTGATTTCATTTCATTTCTCCTTTCGTCCTTCGCTGACCTTTCTGCAGCATCCTTTACAGTTCTGGATGTTTCCCAAGACACACTATGAGAAAGCCTAGAAACACATAATATATTTTTAAATTTTTTTGCCAGTCTGAATATGGAATCCAGGACATTGTGCATACCAGGCAAGCACTCTATCACCGAGCCTCAAAAATATGTTTCTTAATGGCCTGTGCATATTTTCCAGACTTCCTGAATTCCAAGGCTGCCAGAGCCCAGCTTGCCCAACCAGAGAAACCTGTATCAGTGATATCATGAAAGTCCCTCAAAGCCAGGTCATCTTTTCTGGAATGTCAGGATTCTCTCCAGTAGTCAGACTGCTAGACAACATCATTTTCTGGGTCATTTATTCTTCGTAGTCACCATTGTTTCTCGACGAACTCCTAAGTGTACTGATTTTGGAATGTCAAGGCTTTTGCCTCTGATCCTCCCCAGGAGATTTTGCAAATGTCTCAGTTTTGTGTCATAAAGAAGCCATAAGACCTCTGTGGAAGGCTGTCTCTGGGCCCTTAATGTCCTCTGTATATAATAAAATGTGCTGTAGGAAAGGTGGATTCAATCTAAAAAAAAAGTATGTTTTCCTTACTCTGCCAAGGATTGCGTATAGAATTAAGACAAGTCATTTGCAATAGGCCTCAAGTGACTTACAGGCAAGATGGTGCTGCCACATGAGATAATAGTATGGTTGTTTCTTGTTGTTCACATCTAAAAATCAATTTCCATGGCCTCTGCAATGGAGAAGGTAGAGTTCTGTGTATTTATGGTTTCCCAGACTACTCTTGTTCGTGTTGGATAGAGCACTCAAAACAAACAAACAAAAGAGTGTGAAAGACTGGCTATAGGTGCTTCTATCTTACCTTTAGATACAGCTTCATTCCAGAAAAGCAGTGATAACAGTAGTCAGTGCCGTAACTATTTCCCGTCCCTGGAGGCCCTTCTGAGGAGAGGATGGGGGTGAGAAAGGGATAAGAGGATGAGAGAAAATGGAGGGAGGGAGAACTAGGGTTGATAAGTAAAATGAAAATAAAATTAGTTAAAAAAAAAACAGTAGTCAGTGTCATGGAAACAGCCTATGGATGCTATACTAATGCCAAATAAATGAAAGGCCATTAAAGATCTCAAAGTGGAGAGGCCTAAATATGGATGGTTTTCTTCTGTTAATTAAACAGCTAGTCCAGTAGCAGGGACTGAACTGCAGTTCCCTCAGACACTAAAATGATGCCTCATATTCTCCAGCACTTGAACTCCAGCTCCATGAATATCTAAAACGGGACTAAGTGAAAATTGGATAACATTTGCTTGACATTGTCATTGGCCTTTCTCTAATGTCAAAGATGGATTTGCATAATTATGCTGAAAGCCAGGAAAATGTCCCCAGCAGGAAGCTTTCTGGCTGGTGTTAGGTTTTAGTTCTACTCCAGCTGTGACTCTCAAGATGAAGAAAATCTCCTTTCAGAAAAATGAACAGAGTACACACTTTCGGAGGCAGTGTTCTAACTGCTTAAGGACAATTTGCGTTGCATACTGATTTCCCAGGTCTAATTAAGATAGGCTTGATAAGCAACTGATTGACTGAACAACCTTGGGCTCAGTATGAATGGTGCTTCAGAGAGGACAGAGTCCAAGCACAGTTACCTCATAAACCTCTTCCTGATTAAAATTCTTTCAAGCTGGCCAGATGCCTGATAGAAGCAAACTTCTAAAGACTGCCACTGTAACAGGTGTGGGGCTGTGGTGCAAGCTTGTCTTTCAAGGTCACTGCAGTCATAAAATGTCTCTGTTGAAAGTGTCTACGAGGGAAAATGCTGAAGCCACTAAGGCCTCTGCACGGATCTCCAACCTTTATGCATTTCACCAGGACCTCACTCATGCTCTTTCCACACAGGCTTTCTGGTTTACCATTCTGCTTTCACAAAGGAGTTGAAAGCATTACCTCTATTTGGCTTGAAGAAACCTTCCTTCCTTCTTTCTTCCCTTCCTTCCTTCTTTTCTTTTTTTCTTTCTACTTACGTATCTTAGAATTATTTACAATACCATGCAAATATTTGGGCTACGTTATTAAGACAAAGAATGAAAAGAGTAAAATTCAGAATCTTCTGAAACGAATCCCCAAGTGACAGACATCATTCCTATTGCAGCCGATGCACTCAGATACACATTGCCCACGGCAGTAAATTCTCCAGCACTTATGAAATCCTTGCATTTAGATCAGCAATACAGTCATTTTCCCCAAGCAGTGATTTCATGTAGACTTAACTATATATTGTACACTGAGCTTTTGGAAATTACAAAGATTTCTACATTTGTTGTTCACTCGTCCCTTGATTAAAAAAGGATTTCTTTTGTTGTTTTGCTTGCTTTTGTTTTATCTGTGGTGGAGGTCTCATTATGTTGGTTAGACTGGTTAGCTCCACAGAACCCCTCCCTAGTCTCCCAAATGGCATGACAGACACATGTCACTATGCCTATCTCTAAAAGATTTTCTTTACCACTGAGTTTTATTACAAAATTCATAAATTCAAGACACTTCAAAGATAATGGCATAAGGAAAAGCACAGATGAAAAGTCGTCTGTTCCTGTCCCCTCACATTACTCATTAGATTCAAACACAGTGGCTGTTTCTTTGTTAAACTTTATTGTTTCTGGGACACTAGGAAGCATAACCTGCATGTGTATTCCTCTGACGGGGTTATCCTGTCTCATGATGAGAGAACTTTCAACACACTTCAAATGCCTCAGAGCAGAACATACCTTTCAGCTTAATTCCAGTTTGAACTGAAGGTTTCAGTTTGTGCAATTTGCTAAATGGCAATTTGCCTTGGAATAATCTCATAAACATCGAGCAGGCAGATAGACTACTGATTCAGAGTCTCTGACCTTTCAGAGGGCAAATGTCTAGCTTCTAAGGCAAAAAGGCCGTCACAGAAACAAAAGCCATGTCCATTTTAAACAGATTATTATGGCTATTAACGTACTGCAGTTGTAGAGCATTTACAGTTCATAGAGCCTTTTTACAACCATTATCTCATTTGACAATCATACCAATCTTGTAGGACAGATGTTCATTCATATAGGCAATTGTCAGATGCAGAATTTCAGGCATGGGAATGTTAACTGGCTCACCCAAGGTTGTACTGTCAGTTGGTATACATAAAACTCAATTCCCTTTGCATTAGACACACAGAGAGAGAGAGAGAGAGAGAGAGAGAGAGAGAGAGAGAGAGAGAGAGAGAGGGAGGGAGGGAGGGAGGGAGGGAGGGAGGGAGGGAGGGAGGGAGGGAGGGAGGGAGGGAGGGAGGGGGAGAGGGAGGAATGGAGATTATCTGAATATTTCACAATCCAGTCCCCTGTGAGGAAAATCTCAGAGCAGGAGGAAGGATCCTTATCTTTAAGTTGATCAGCCTTTACAGTTAAATATTCAGACATAGAGAAACAGGCTACTTTAGTGAAATTGGTGTGACGGGGATGTGAGATGTTGTGTGCCACAATAAACTAACAATGACAATTTTATCTGCCACATAATCAATGTGCAATGTGACATAAGTCCACAAAATCCACTGAGTAACTTGCTTCAATTCTGTTACTATTTCCTGACAAATTGTCTCATCAACTAAGGCTTCATGGCACGTGTGTGAAGTCCTAGCTACCCGAGAAGCTGAGACAGTTGTGTGATTTGAACCCAGGAGTTTGAGGTTAGCACCGATAACAGGGCAAGGTAATGTCTACAAACAGAAAATGAAGCAAAACAAAAGAAAACATTGCACTCAAATAAGTGTGAGAGTAATTATATTATGGCTGTTCTGTTTGTCAATAGCCAGTCCTCCCCCGAA